TATATTCTATAAGACCATCATAAAAAGTAGTAAGATATGTGACAGTGAAGACTCATTTCCTAAATATCCACAATAAAACCAATGCATTTTCCAAGTCTTCAGGGAGACATAATGTAATAAATAAGTTACAATCTGTAACACATACTGAGCTACAGGGACCTGGGAGAAAGAAGGACTCATCTTGCTTTCCTCCCAGGAAAAGAACAGGACAACTACTTGATTTATGGATCCAGGTCCCTTCAGCAGTGTTCTTTATAGAGGGAAAAAAAATAATTCCTATATTTCTGCAGTAACTAGTAATGAAACATTATTCATGACTTTCCAAGTGCCTTTCTTTTTGATACTGATTACAAAACAACCTCAATATGGTCAGTAACTCGGCTTCCTCAGTTCTTAGGTACATGAAGAGTATGCTGGATTTTTCAATATGAAAATTCTGACCACCAGAAAGAACTGCCTCCTATTCCAACATAAACTGGCATTCTATTTTGTACATTCTAATGCATACATCATTCTCCTGTTTCCTTTTATGTGGGTTGGGTTCCTGAGGTCTGTGCACATATGGATAGAAGTACACATTTAAGCTTTTTAGGTTGGAAATGAGAACCTTGCATTTGCTGGGCAAGTGCTCTACCAAGACCTACACCCCGCCAGCTGGTAGTCACTCTTCCTCACTGACAAGTGTTTCAATAGTCTCTTCGTTTTCATTCCCATCCTTACTCTGCCTCTAGGAACAGAAAATGGTGAGGACAGCAGTGGCACTTTTGTTATTGTTTTTGCATTAAAATACATTTGCAAAATCAAACTTGGAGATCCATTTATACATCAAAATGATGAATGAAAGCTGTGGATGTAGCTCAGTGGCAGAGACTTCCCTAGCACCAGTAACGTCTGACACAATGAAACAAGACACGACTTTGCAGCCAGCCCTGAAGATACCTGATAAAACAGGGTCAAATGAAGGGGGAGGAGGTCCTCCCCTATCAGTGGACTTGGAAAGGGGCAGGGAGGAGACCAAGGAGGGAGTGTGGGGTTGGGGAGGGAATGAGGGAGCGGGATACAGCTGGGACACAGAGTTAACAAAATGTAACTAATAAGAAAAAAAAAAAAAAAAAAGACAAAGCAACAGCAGCAAACCACAAAATAGAAAACAAAAGCCAATGAAGAAACCACTGTAGGCTTTAAACCAAAGCACAGGATACGTTGTCATACAGCCTCATTTACATAAATACTCTTTTCCCAAAATTGAAAAATTAAGAAATTAAGAAAATTAAAAAAAAAAAATTAAGAAAAAAGTGGAGAGACATCCCATTTGCTACAAAGTGGGGCAGAGATATTTGAATTTGAAGTACATACACTTGGAACTTCACATTAGAACTCAGTCTTTTCTCACTGAAAAGTAATTGCATTATTTCTTTAAAGGTCTACCAAAAAAAAAAAAAAAAAAAAATCTGAGCCAGGTGTGGTGGTACATGCCTGTAATGCTGGCATCTGAGGAGGCAGAGTCAGGTAGGTCTCTGTGAGTTGCAAGCCAGCCTGGTCTACAAGGTCAGTCCAGGACAGCCAAGGCTACACAGAAAAACCCTATTAAACAAACAAACAAACAATCTGTCTTCAAGTCTAGTTTCACAGTGCTTACTTGTAACACCAACATTCAGAAGGCTGAGACAGGGTAGTCAAGTGTTCAAGACCAATTTGGGCCACACATAGCAATTATCTGTCTCAAATACAGAAACCAAAGTTGCTCTTTCATACCCCAAAACACCTTACAGAGAGACTCATATTTTCTCTCTCTCTCTTGTCAATCTAATTGACACATAGGTCATTTGGAATACTTCCTGCTAAAATTATTTCTTCTTAGGTCTCCTGCATGTTTGAGGACTAGACTAATAAGAGAAATAATTTTTCATATGCTATTGCTTTATCTAAAAAAATTCACTTTACCGCTCCTGGTAATCAAACATTTAAGGTAAATAGTAACATTTATATAAAGTCTGAGGCACACACATATACATTCATATATATTTGGGGGTCTGAAAAATATTTTAATGTTGGTAAATGTATGTTATAAAGGTTAAAAATATAAAAACTTCCATGGTAGAGTGTCAGTCTCAGAAAAAGACCCCTCTGCCCAGATATATTTGGTCCTTGTGGAGTGCCTATCCTTTCCAGGTCATACTAACTCCCCCTTCTTTCACATGATTCCCTACACTCTGCCAAAGGTTTGGTTATGAGTCTCAGCATCTGTTTTGAAACACTGCCAGGTAGTCTTTCAGAGGCCCTCTGTGGAAGGCTCCTGTCCTGTTACTTGTTTTCTCCCAACCTAGAACCTCTGCTTGGATATAGCCCGTGGTAGTTCAGTAACCAATTAGTTTCCCATAGTAAGGGGAACAGAGACTATTTCTGACAGGAACTCAATGGCAGGCTCTTTCACTTCCCCACCCCCCACGGGAGGAGCAGTCCTGCTAGGCCACAGAGGAGGACTTTGCAGCCAGTCCTGAGTCAGATGAAAGGGGAGGAGGTCCTCCCCAAGCAGTGGACTTGGAAAGGGGCAGGGAGGAGATGAGAGTGAAAGGGTGGGATTTGGAGGGAATAGGGAGCAGGATATAGCTGGGACACAGAGTTAATAAAATGTAATAATAATAAAAATAAAAATAAACGTCAATGATAAGTGATTTAAGGAAATAGCTTTAACATTAATCAGACTTTAAATTATTTCCCAATTCAATTTATCTCATTTTATAAACTTAAAAAGAATCTTCTAAGCTTCAAAGAATGACTTGGATCCACCTTGGAGCCACAAGTCAAATGGATTCCAGATAAGAACACCTACCTGTTTCTGAACATTGTAATTTTCCCCTGGTCTTGGGACTCTTCACCTTCCCCAATTACTAGAAAATTTTAATTTTTGTCCCTAGTCTGTATTTGTTTCAACAGGTTTTCACTTGGCTGACAGGCTCCACTGAACTGCCTGCGGACTGGAAACTGCTGAGCTCTGGACTTGCTGAAAGCCGATATAACCAGTCCAGCCAAAGTGACTGCTCCCTGTCTTTCAACTGTATCGGCTAGTCAGATGCATTCTGATAACTGTGTCACTGTCCAACCTTTAGCTAGCATTTCAGCCTTCCTGGGCTGAACAACATCCCAGCTGGACAGAGTTACAGAAGAGAATACATCGCCAACTGCTCCACCTAACAGACTGAAATGCTAAGTCAAAATGGGCTCCCTATCATAAGGAACAAATGATTACCTATAATGCCAACTGACATACCAAAAATGGGTCTCTGATTAGTTTCTTTTTCTTTTTTTTTTTTTTTAACTTCTAAGTTTCTTAATGACACAGTCTATTACCTACTTCTAATTTTAGAGGACTTACAGAAAAAAGTAAAACAAAACAAAACTTGTTTCAGGTTCCAAAGAAAATTATCTACTTCCCTTAGGATAAAAGAGACTAATCTTTTAGGTCCTAAACACAGTTGGTTTACATGTGCCACAGGTCTCCCCTTGTCTCTTTGTACAGCATTTCACAATAAATCCCGAAGTGCAAGAGATGATTTGGAATCAACTATATGACTCTAGGGCAAAACTCAAAGTGGGAAGGTTGAGGCGCACACTGATATCCAGACCTGTCTAGGCCTTCCCGACTAGCATAACTGCAGCCATTTTGTTTTTAAGTCTCCATTTTGATCATAAGATGAAATTAAGTACAAATTCTCAGGCTCTGCCTGTCTGAGAACTTGAATAGCCTTTTTACTTACAATTCAGTATTTGTTGAATGTTCTGGTTGAATTAATGATATATGTTCTACTTAAATGAGAACCACAAAACCCTGCTATATTCCTTTCTCCTGGAATGGCGGGGAACTGGAAAGTCCCCAAGCTCCCCTATGCTATAATATCCTATCCAAATCAGCTTAAAATGCTTTGTCTAGCTACCTAGATACAATGTACTTGGAACAAAACTGAATCTTCTTGCTTGGCCAGACATGATACACCTGGAATAGAATTGATTCTTCCTGCTTGGTTATTGTCTTTTCCCTTTAAAAACTCCCTCTGGAAATGGCTCAATTATCACAGTTTGGCTCCTTAGTTCACTCTCTGTCCTTGATCGGTCAGCCTTGGATGTCCTGAAATTCAATCTGTAGACCAGGTTGGCCTCGAACTCTGAGACCCTCCTGCCTCTGCCTCCCTAATCCTGGGATTAAAGGGATCAAAGGCATGCAACATCAAGGCCCTGCACAGGAGATATTCTTAGTAGAATTGATTCTACTTATAGTTTCATTTAAAGGAAAACACCGATCAGCCATCATATTCTTAGTTTGTTTAAAATAATGTCTATCAGCCCTAAATCCTCTGGGCAGAATTCTCTTAGGACTGTAATGCCAAGAACTTGCACTACAACTGAAATTGTCTAGTGATCTCCGTCTCCAGGAGACTGAAAGACTGCAGAGGCGCTTGAGCATCCTACTGGGAGAGTGGAGAGGTGGGGCGAAGGAGAGTCCCACAGAGGAGCTACATGAGAACGACCTTAAGTACTCCGTCTAACGAAAAGCAGCTAGCTATACAGGGGAAAGCACTGATTCTGCACATCTTTAAGAAAACTTAGTGATACGGACAACGAAAAGTGAGAAAAAGCTTTTAACACTCTACAGCCAGAGGGTGAAGAGAGGAAAAAGGAGGCGTGGGAGAGAAAGACGAGGCGAGAAAGGTCCCCAAAGATTAAGAATTGTTTTGTTTTTAAAGTACTCAGTCTGTAAGCTTGGCATTGGCTGAGTTCTCCAGTACTGGGAAGCAGTCTGTAGGAAGAAAGAATCCCACTTAGGATAGCGGAGTTGAACGATTACAATGATAACCAGCACTGCGGAACATGTCGCCTCTTTCTGCTTGCTCCGGTCCAGTCCTTTACCCTCTCTCTGGCTCATCTGGCTCATCTGGCTCATTGGCACACGCGCAACACTCCCCCAAAGCTTGCACCACTGCATGACAGCAAAAGGAAAATACCTGAGTCCCGGGAATAACACCTGCAGCAACAGGAGGAGGAGCCACGGAAAGCTGGAAATGGGACAGGATCCTCACTTGCGCTGGCCAAACCTCAACTCTTACGGGTGGGGCGGGAAACTTCCGTCCCGAGCAGGCATACGTCATTTCCTTTCAAGCTCTTGACCCCGCCTCTCCAGTCTGGCTACTTTCCAACATTCCAACTTCCTCTTCCAGGAGTCCTCTGCCTATGCTTAACTCCCTACGTGGACTACGTGACCCAGCATTCATTTCGGTGGGTCGATTTCCGGGTCAAGAGGTCCGCTCTGGGTGCATCACCATGGAAGCGCTCGGTTTGGTCACGTGGTGGCCCTGGTTACGCCGGGTGGCGGCGGTGGGGTCCCCGGCTTAGGCGGGGGCCATTTTGCCGGAGGCTGGCTCCGGGAGTCGAAGGCCCGAGCGGCCTGGCAGCTGACCGGAGCCGTTCCTTCTCTTCCTCTGCAACCCCGGCCTTGGAGAGGAGCTGGAAGGCTGGGCTTCCTCCAGCCCTCCCAAGACGGCAATGGTTTCCTCCAGCCATCTTTACCTGACGACCCTCCATGGCGGCCGCGCCATCCGAGCTGCTCCTGCTGCCGCCTCTTGCAACCTCTGGTTCCTATCGCCTCCTGAGCCGCGGTCGTCCTTCCGCCCCCGGGACTGATGCTCGTCGAGCTGGGGGCACCATGAGAGGCGAGAAAAACTACTACTGCCGCGGGGCTGCCGGGGATCATGGTTCCTGCCCCTCGACGCCGTCGTCTCTGGCCTCGACCCTCTTGTTGCCGGCGGAGGCCGTCTCCAGTAGCTGGTCGGGGCCTGGAAGTGGGCTGTCGGGAGGAGATGAGGAGGAGACTCGGCTTCTTCAACTCCTGCGCACCGCACCGGATCCTTCCGAGGCGTTCCAGGCTTTGCAGGCTGCCTTACCGCGGCGGGGCGGCCGGCTCGGCTTTCCCCGCCGCAAGGAAGCCTTGTATAGGGCTCTGGGCCGAGTGCTTGTGGAAGGCGGTAGTGATGAGAAGAGACTCTGCTTGCAGCTTCTCTCGGACGTTCTTCGGGGTCAGGGGGAGGCGGGTCAGCTGGAAGAGGCCTTTAGTCTAGCGCTTTTGCCTCAGCTAGTTGTCTCGTTACGGGAAGATAATCCTGCCCTACGGAAAGATGCGCTGCAGATCCTGCATATTTGTCTGAGGCGTAATTCTGGGCAGGTACTCAGAACGCTTATACAAGGCCTGGAAAGTCCAGATGCCCGGCTCAGAGCGTCCACTGCGCTGTTGCTCCCTATCTTGCTTACTCCTGAGGATTTGTTGCTGGGCTTGGATCTCACTGAAGTTATAATATCCCTGGGCCGAAAGCTTGGCGATCAGGAGATGGAAGAAGAATCAGAGACGGCATTCTCTACACTTCAACAAATTGGAGAACGACTTGGTCAAGAGAGGTTTCAGTCCTACATCTCTCGTTTGCCCTCTGCGTTGAGGAGGCACTACAATCGCCGCCTGGAGTCCCAGTTTGGAAGCCAGGTTCCTTATTATTTGGAGCTAGAAGCCTCTGGGTTTTCTGAAGATGCTGCCCCTTGTGTAGTAACTCTTTCCAATAGCAATCTTAAATTTGGAATTATTCCTCAGGAGCTGCATGCAAGATTGTTGGATCAGGAAGACTATAAGAACAGGACTCAGGCTGTTGAAGAATTAAAACAGTTGCTGGGAAAATTTAACCCGAGTTCTACCCCTCATTCCAGTCTTGTTGGTTTCATTAGCTTATTGTACAATTTGCTAGATGATTCCAATTTCAAAGTGGTCCATGGCACACTTCAGGTTCTGCATTTACTGGTTATTCGCCTGGGAGAGCAGGTGCAGCAGTTCTTGGGACCAGTTATAGCAGCTTCTGTGAAAGTGCTGGCGGACAACAAGTTGGTGATCAAGCAGGAATATATGAAAATCTTTCTGAAGCTAATGAAAGAAATAGGTCCTCAGCAGGTGCTTTGTTTGCTCTTGGAAAACCTTAAGCACAAGCATTCCAGAGTAAGAGAGGAAGTAGTGAACATTTGCATCTGTTCTCTCCTGACCTATCCCAGTGAGGATTTTGACTTACCCAAACTGTCTTTTGATCTTGCGCCAGCTCTTGTAGATAGCAAACGTAGGGTACGCCAGGCAGCTCTAGAAGCCTTTGCTGTTTTGGCATCATCCATGGGCTCAGGTAAAACCAATGTCCTTTTTAAAGCTGTAGATACTGTTGAATTGCAAGATAATGGAGATGGAGTGATGAATGCTGTGCAGGCCAGATTGGCCAGAAAAACTCTTCCACGGCTAACAGAACAGGGATTTGTGGAGTATGCAATCCTCATGCCATCTTCTGCCCAGGGCAGGTCAAGCAGTTTGGCACATGGAGCAGATACAGACTGGCTTATGTCTGGTAACAGGACTCAGAGTGCACACTGTTACTGTGGCGACCACACGAGGGACAGCATGCAACTGTATGGCTCCTACAGTCCAACTATCTGTACCCGAAGGGTATTAAGTGCTGGAAAAGGGAAAAATAAATTACCGTGGGAAAATGAGCAGCCTGGTGTCATGGGAGAAAACCAGACTTCCAATCCCAAGGATGCTAAAGATACAGAGCAGGTATGTGTAATTTTCTTAAGTTGAAGGTGAAAGAATTCACAATAAAACTTTTGAAATGTGTTGATGGGAACATCCATTATAATGGTTCACGTTATATCAGTCCGTTTAATGGGTTCCTTGGTTAAATTTGAGGTACAGTGTGACACGGACAATAATGTGTTTCAATAATGGTTTATTGGTTTAATCATTTCACTCAGCTCAGACAACAAACACTGAATACCTACGAGGTACCAGGTAAAGAACTAAGTTGCAGTTCCAAGTGGTTTCTGGAGAAGGTTATAAACTGGCAATTCACATGTTTGTTAAGTGATAGAATAGAAATACAGAGTGCTGTGGAATAATTAATTCTACTAGAAAGAAACAAAAAACCTTCAGGGCTCTGATCTTTGAACTCAAGATTCATGTCCCCTCTCAGCTTTTATTTTAAAATTTACAAATCTACATGTAAATTCAGAGTAGTCAGTTCACATATACTTTTATTCATCTGTATTTGCCAGTTAATCTCATATTTTTGCTCCATATTTTATGAACCATTGGATAGTAAATTGTACATATTTTGGATTTCATTTCTTTATATTTTGAAATACATCTTATAAAAGAAGTTATTTTGTAACCGTATTATCATATTTCAGAATACTAATAGTAATTGAATAATATATAGTTTCTTTTTAAATTTTCCCATTTGTCCCCAAACATGTTTTACATTTTCATTTTACTTTATCATTTCAAATCGAGTCATGGTTGGAGGGTGTTGTCTTTTTATCTAGTATTGTGTCTCTGCTTGTTTGTAAGTTTTCATGGCAGGCCCCTTTTCCTCGGGAATGCTGGGGTAATTGAATTGCGGAATATCACACAGTATGAGTTTCTTTGATTGCTTCTGTATGAATAGACTCAGGTTAAAAATTAATAGCAAATATTTCCTAAGTAATGCATACAGTACAGTGGGGTTGTTCCACGTTGAGTGATGCTCATCTTATCATTTGATTCAGTGACAAGATCCATTATAAAAGTATATTTTCCCCTTTACTGTGGATGTTACTTGAGACCAGACAAATTCCTTAACAACGTTTTACTCATTGTTTTTGACATCCGGGGAGTGTTTGTATTAGTCATTACAGTGGTGGTACAAAGAGTGTACCTAAACAGAAAGCATTTCCTCACTGTTACTGACATTTTTTAAAGATTTGTTTCTGTTTCTGAGTCTGAGTATGCGTGTACGCATGTGTACCTGTGGAGGCCAGAAAAGGGTGTCAGATCTGGTGGAGCTAGAAGAGTTCCAGGATTCTGTCTGGGCCTGGTGTAGGTGCTGAGGACAAAACTCTCTGTAAGAGCCACAAGAATTCTGAACTGCTGAGCCTTCTTTTTAGCCCCAAATTAAGTTTTTTTTTAAAAGTTTATTTATAATTCAAATATTCTGCTTATAGTTTCTTCTCCCCCAACTCCTCCCAGATCCTCTTGACCTCCCCACCCACCCGAGTCCACAGTCTTTCTTCCATTAGAAAACAAACAGGCAACTAAAAAACAAACAACAATAGCCAAACTTTGGGCAGAGTGCAGGGAATCTTCCGAAAGAAGGGGGAGATGGAAAGACCTGGAGGGGACAGGAGCTCCGCAAGGAGAGCAACGGAACCAAAAAAATCTGTGCAGAGGGTTCTTTTCTGATACTGATATTCCAACCAAGGACCATGCATGGAGATAACCTAAAACCCCTGCTCAGATGTAGCCCATGGCACCTCAGTGTCCAAGTGGGTTTCCTAGTCGTGGGAGCAGGGACTGTCTCTGACTCAGTGGCTGGCTCTTTGATCACTTCCCCCTGAGGGGGGTCAGCCTTACCAGGCCACAGAGGAAGATATTGCAGCCAGTCCTGATGAGAGCTGATAGGTTAGGGTCAGATGGAAAGGGAGGAGGACCTGCCTCTCCTATCAGTGGATTGGGGTAGGAGATGGGAGGAGATGAGGGAGGGAGGGTGGGTATTGGGAGGGGAGGGAGGAGGGGGCTACTGCTGGGATACAAGGTGATTAAATTGTAATTAATAAAAATAAATTAATTAATTAAAAAAAAACCCAACAAGCTGGGGGTGGGCGGCTGGCCTGTGATCACAGCAATTGGCAAGGCAGGGACAGGCAGATCTCTGAGTTTGAGGCCAGCCTGGTCTACAGATCGAGACCAGGACAGCCAAGGCTACACAGAGAAAACCCTGTCTCGAAAAAACAAACAACCAGAATAGGACAAAATAAAAGGGGAAAATAAAAGAGCCAAAGAAAAAGCACAAGAAACACTCAAACACACAGAAATACCATAAAAATAGAAAACCAGAAACCATAATATATTAGCAAAAGACCTATAAGGACATATACACACACACATACACAAATAATGCCCACACAAAGCATTATGGATCAAAAACTTTCCAAAAATATCATTGAGCTTATTTTGTGTTGGCCATCAAATTAAGAT